GTCTTTTTAGAAACAACAGCTTTCAGTCTTAAAATGTTGTGAGTTTGGAAAATTGTAAGTTCTTAACAAAATAAACTACATTACTTATCCAAAATAACTGTAGAGAAAGACTTTTTTTTTTGTTTAAAGTGGTAACAAAAACTTTAAGCTCCAGGAGCCTTCATGTCAGTTTTAAAAAACAGCCAGTGCTTTACTGGAGTCAGGAGAACAGCCCAGTCTATCAACTATAACTAAGCCTGTGCTCTTCGGGGCAAGCCCTGGGGCTGAGTGAGGGTGATGAGTTTAAGGGTGGAGGACTCAAGGCACAATGAAAGAACCGTTCAGAATACACGACAAAACAAAAATCCAATTAGAGTGAGAAACTGGAAACCAAAGGAAAGGGCTCCATTTTGTTTTGGAAAGTCCTTCAGAGCAGCACTGGCTGTGAAATGTTATTGGTCATCATGGCTCAACACACTTGAATGTAACAAAAGGTAGGGGTAGGGTAGAGATACTGTACGTCAGAGCTCTCACACAATACAGCACGGTTACACTGTCATTCAAGACTACCATTATTCAGAAATGCTCTTTCAAGTTACAGTTACTTTGCTCAGCATTTTAGTGATCTTATTTATCTTTATGATTATCTTATGGTGTCCCCATTTATGTACTCCATGACATTTTGTATAATATACTTGCCCTTTTTTAAAGAGTCCTGCGCATTTAACTTTGCGTCATCATGAACTGTGTCCAGACCCTGGAATAGACTCCCAGCGGGGGTGGTGTAGGCACTGACCCTGAAGATTTCAAAAGTAAACTATTCGCACACCTTGCTGGGGTTATTTGATCTCATGAGGTCCTTTCCAGCCCTAAACTTCTGTGAATCTGTGAAAACTTTTCAGGGAAGTTTGACAATTTTTCAGCTCTCAATACATGTTTTTGCACAATTCTAGTACTACACTATTTTTATAGTGTTTTGAATGGAAAAGCTACATACCTGGGCAACATTTATAGTAGATGAAACAAAGGATCTACAAGATCAGTAGGTTGCACAGGTTATCATGCCATGTAATGTGGCAAACACTCATATATGTGTAGGTTGTGTTTATATATAAGCCACTCAGAGAGCAACACGCAAGCAGACCATGAGTAAGGTACTTAAGCAAAACTGAAATAATGGAACTGGAAAAAATATATAGCTATACAGTAGGATGCAAGAAAAAAAAATCTGCACGTTCCTTAACACACAGCAACTGCCACACTACAGATCCTCAAATAAAGTACCAATGTAAAATACGTGATATTTTAATATGCAAAGTATATTCTAGTGTTATGCAGGTTATGCAGGCAGCCTTACTAGAAATGAGTCAATTATCAAACTTGCCTACTTAGGCACTACCTCATAGTTGATTTGTCTCTCTCACTATTTTAGATTGTACAGGAAGGTCTTTCAGGGTAGGAGTGTCATTGCATAGTATGACACCTGATCTCTGAAGGCCCCCCAAAAATTCTTGGTGGCCCTGGCCCAAACAGAACGAGGCCCAAAACAACTGCCTTCACCACCACCTGTAATATAATATTGAGAATATTGTTAATATTAACTATGTAACCAAATATGAAAAAGGCAGAAATGTAAGGCAGGTGGAGAGTGGAAGCCTTGTAGAATTGGGTTAGTATTGCATTCCTCTCTCTCTGACAGTGGTTCTCAACCTTTTCAGACTTAAGACACCCCTCATTAGACTCAAAACACCCTATGAAAAATGCCAGCTCTTAGCTTTCACTCCTTTTTTGACTACAGAAAAATAATGGAAGGGTTATCCTGCTGCAAACTCAGAAACACCACTACAAGTCAGAACACTTTTGACACTGCAGTTTCCTATTTGAGACCTCGTGGTTTATCTTGTAATTAGTGGGCCCTTCTGTTTCAGGGAGTCCTGAGCCTGGGCCTTGTGTGCCTGTTCATTAATCTGCCTCTGGAATCTGGCATTTACTGTTACTCAGTTGTCATGCATACTAGTACTTCAACTTACTCCTGTGTGCCACCCAATCCTTCCCCACCATCTCTTACGAAGTACTTTTAGCCACTCCCCAGCTGTAATGGCAAAAGTATCAAATGTTCGGGCTTGGATTCTTCACGGTGAGGTCCTTTGATTTGTTTTACTATGTACTTTTTGACCACAAGAATTTCACTAAACAAATAACAACATAGGGGCCTACAGACCCAAACTCCTTAGAACAAGTTCTGGGTCATTTTTTAGAGTGTATGTATTCAGAAAAAATTATTGTGGGTTATGTGCTTTACACTACTGCAGATAATACAGATAATTTCACTACTGCAGGCATTTTTCATAGGGTGTCTTAAGTCTGAAAAGATTGAGAACCACTGTCATAGGGAGAGAGGAGTGCAATGCTAACCCAGTTCGACAAGGTTTCCTCCCACCCCCACACTTGCTGCATTCCATAATGTACAGATATCTGAAATATTAGCATGCCTTAGGTGAAATCTTGCCATTGAATTCCATGGCAAAATTATGTGATTTCAAGTGAGGCAAAATGTCCCTTTTTCATAGGTGGACTTATACCTTTTTGTATCTATCAGTTTTCTTTATACATTAAATTACCTTTAAATTCTTCTATAAATTCCTTTTTAGATACACCTTAGCAGGTCAGGCAAAGCATTTTCCCCTCCCCCCTTCCCCCCCCCCGTTTTTATGTTTCTATTAAAAATTAGATTACATCTTCAGTTTATACTTGTACAACATAAAATTTGGCTTACATAGCATTTCTCCAATTGGTTTTTTTTCCTCCTACACTCATTTAAAATTCTTCTTGGAAACCTAACTATTCAGCAGCATCTACAAGGCACTTAAAGTCATCTGTTTCTCTATCTGTGAACTGCTCATGTATGTGGTGAAGAGGAATGAAGGTCAGCAATGAAGGATGTTAAGAGCACTAGAAGCAAAGCTGGGAATTGGCATGAGCAGAGAGACAAGGAAAAGTAGTAAAAAAAAAAAAAAAAAAAAATCGAACAAAATACAGAACTCACTATGTCTATCATTTTTTCATATAAGCACCTTTCATTTTTGCTTGTATGAGATATCCTTACAGCCACCCTTATTTTTTCTTAGTATTTTGCCTGTACTTCTTGACAGTAGGACCCCAGTCTACCTGTGACTTAAAAGTGCATTATGTTTTGGATTTTATTGCTTATGAACACTTAGCATGTCCATTATAAAGTAGAAGTTCAAATTGTCTTTAGTGGTTTACCTGAAGAATGTTAATGCATTTTTCAAGTTTTAGCTCCACCCATTCTTTTTGTAGCAGAAGTTAATCACACCCACACACAATTACGCACATTTACAATGCTATGTACATGTTTATAGCACTTCATAGAACACACATAAGGTCTTGTACTGCACCAACAAACTTACCTGCACAACACCTACCAGGCTAAATATGGAAACAGAACAGGTAAGAGATGGAGCCTAAGGGAGGATGACTGGTAAGGAAATCAGCAGATTTCAGGGAAGATATGGTTTTTTGAGGGAGTGATTTGAAGGATGAAGCTAAAGCAATTTCTGGTCCTATGCCAGTGATTTCAAACATAAAGTCATATTTTCTGTGCACTGGCTCAACGTGTTCACTTTATGGCGCATATATTAAAAAAAACCCAATTAGAAATGGTCTTGGACTTTGCCTCCCAATTATAGTACCATTTATAAAATAGTGATTGGTTACTAGTTTAACAATGTAATTAAGGAGTGGGGCTTTTACTGATTAATCAAATGCCCATTCTATAGTCCAAGCATACAAGTTAGCTCAGTGGGATTTAAACCTACACAACGGTGAATTAAAAGTGAATGCAAACATATTATTAGCATAGCTCGCAAGAAATGAATTTGAATTTCTGTTTAAATTATAATTGTCCCTGTATAGAAGTTAAAGCATTCCAGCTTTTCATTATTTTATTAAGTTAGAAATTATGTTATTCTGTAAAAGCATTCTTAACAACTCTGGGCTGAAATGCCATTATTTAACATATTTTAAAGATTATCTGATCATTGGCTGCACCAATGCGCTGTGGTTTTATTGACCTAGTTCTGTCCTCATAACTGCTCTCTGTTTCTGAGATTCTTTATCAGGATATGTATCATGTGTGCATTAAGGGACAATTCATTTGGGAACTGATGGTCCATATTATTAGCACATAGCCATTCACCAGAAACACCATGTTCAAATATTTCTGTGCGTTTGTCTAAGCCTTTTTATTGTCTGTCTCTTAGTGGCCCGGCTGCTGGTGAGGGTGCTCAAGAATAGAAGTTTAGCTGTCTTAAACTATAGCTGGTGCTTGTTCTCCATGTGGAGTGCTGGCTTCCTTTCTTTTACTCAATGCCAAACTGAGGGACACAATGGGTGTGTTGTGCTCTGTGCTAGCATGGTATGCACGATATCTTTGAAAAGGAGGTGTGAGCTGCCTTTAATACCTAGACTCCTAACAGTACAAGTACCAGAAACTAATCAAACACAGTGCTGGGGCATACATTCCATAAAGAAAGCCTAGTGCAAAAGCTGCTTTCTATTATGACCTACATACTGCACACAGCAGTTGGACAATTTAAATCTAGCTACATTATTAAGACGGAGAACAATGCATGTATTTGAATGCTGAGAGAATCAAGGATTTTAAGGTTTTACAAACAAAATGTTTCTCAGTTCTATAATGTTTGATATCCCATGTAATCCTTACAATATAAAATCATAGCAGGATGCATAAAATCCCTGTTGTGTATACATGAAATGTGCATAAGATTTGTTCACTACCCATTTTTTTTCTCAAAACAGGAAGCATTTTGACTGTTACATTATACTACTGCACTCAAATAAACCATAATATGATCAAAATCATTAAATGCAAGCTTTAACAAGTCACTTTTAATAGGAATACATTTGAGATGCTACTTTGAGCAAAACTTCATGCAAGTATTTTCTATAAAATTGAAACCAAGCAAACAAAAGCTTACCTCTTTCACACAAGCAGAGATGCACAGCAGCCTCCTGGTCTAAGTCCAGAAGCAGAAGCTCCTAAGCCAACAATCTGTTAATAAGAAGCATGTAAACCTGAGAGGGCGGTTTGTACAGCCGACAATACAGAGCCTATCTGAATTGCACACCTGCTTCTCCAGTGGTGCTTGCTCATATAAAACACCAGAGCACAAGAACAATGTTGGGAGAGGGCAACACCCTTCTTTTGGGTCACCAGCTTTCACTCGGAGCAGCTCGCGAGTGGTTGAGATAACATTGCAGGGAAACCTTGCCTTTACAAGACAAAAAACCTACTCCCCAGCCTGACAGCAGATATGCAGCATTATCACTCTGCATTCCACCTTCCCTGATCAGCTAATGGGAACGAGCCGTCACCAGCTTGTCAAGATGGCAGCGTGTAGGCATTCTCAGCTATAGTAATTATTCTCTCATCTTCTCCTCTGTTTCCTCTGAATAGATTTTTTGTTTATTCCATGGTAAAGCACAGCATAATATGTCACACTGTTTTCCATAAGCAAAATGGCTGATCCTTTCAGCAATGCTGCAGACAGTTCATTGGGTTCCACTAGCTTTTTGTAGCCATGGCAACAACCAACAGACAGACTTATCCAGAAAGCATGGCTGATCATGTGCAGATCCCCAACACAGAATGCTAATTTATGGGGATTTTTTTTCCCCATTTTATTTTGGCCAGCCACAATTTCTGATTTCTGAATATTCTGTCCATGTGAAGAATGGCCTGTTTTTAGATACTTCTCATTTTTCCTCTTCCCTTTCAGGGTTACAGATGGAAATCCTACTGTATATAATCTAGACTAAAAGAGACAATACACAACAAGTTATAAACAGGCCTGGATTTTTGATGCACAAAATTTATGCATGAAGGAAATCTGATAAGTCAGGCAAAGTAATGTCATTAGAACAAGCAATCTTTTTTTAATTTAATTTTGAAATGGAACCGATAATCCACAATCACTGGTTAGCAAATTCAGCATTAATCAGCACTTACCAACCATAACCTAGAAAACCTTTTACTTTTTATTTTTACTTTTTTGTAAAAAAAATTAAAAAAAATAAATTCTCATGGATTTCTCTTCTATATATGTAAGATTGGATGAGCCTTCTTACTAGGAAAATATAAAGGAATTAAATTAACCATTAAATTAACATTAATCAGCACTTACCAACCATAACCTAGAAAACCTTTTACTTTTTATTTTTACTTTTTTGTAAAAAAAATTAAAAAAAATAAATTCTCATGGATTTCTCTTCTATATATGTAAAATTGGGTGCTCCTTCTTACTAGGAAAATATAAAGGAATTAAACTAACCATTGCTCTCAAGATACCACAGCACTGTCATACACTTAGAACAGAATATAACTGATTGTTTTACTTTCTCCATTCCTCAGTTTTCTGCATTTAAAATGAGTTTGGGACGGGGGAAGACATCTGTGAAAAAAATGAGATCAGCATATAAAAAGTGGTGTATAAAGGCTAGGTATCAACGTCTCTGCTACAATTTCTGGTACTTATAAGCTTTTTATTGGAATCCATTGCATATAAAGCACCTCTTCCTCTTAAAGCTCCCTGAAAACTAATTAAAAACCATATAAACTTCTACATTACATACCATACCTCCTACATCACTACATATATTTGCATTCCAAACATTCAAGCTATCTAATTTGAACCTGTACAACAGTTTGTAGCAGTAGCAAATTCAGTTTATTGATAGCTGAAAACTGCTGTTGAGCCAACAAGTGAATAATACTGGGAGAGGACATTGGAGAGGTATTGCTGCATTCTTATCAGGCATTTTGCCTGAAGATGGCCACTTTAAATCTCTTTTTATTTTTGAGAGATACCAAGACTGCTCAGAATTTGCAATTCATTATGTCATTTGCCATATTTATGCCATGGATTGTTAGGACTATACCAAGTAGCTTCAGGCCTACTGGCAGTCTAAAGAGTGTCAGTAATGCCAACTCTCATGAAAAAATCATGAGACTCCTGATTTCCAAGTCAAATTAACTCTGACTCATGATCTCCTGATACAGAGATCAAATCTCAGGATTTTTTCTTCTGGCACGTGTAGAGAGCGCTAAGCTAGTAAGTCTATGGATCGGAAGGGGCAGGGGCATGGGGAGAGGGGGGCAGATTGAGGCCTCCATGGTGAAGGAGGGAGTGGGGCAGGCTCTGGGGTGAATGGGGCCCCGGGGGGGTGGCTCTGTGTGTGTGTGTGTGTGTGTGTGTGTGTGTGTGTGTCCCTCACTTCTGAGA